GAGACGGGAACCCTCTATGAGTAAGTGAAGCACCAGGGAGGATGTGACACGTACTCTGCTGGCAGCAACTTGAAGAGGCAGATTTATTTTCACAGTGAGGATCAAGAAGGAAAAGAAGTGTCAAAAAGGCAAACTGCAACTTGAGCTTTGAAAGACGAGAATTTCCAAAGGGAGCGGTGGGTGGAGAGTTTCAAAAGGTGGCCTGGGGCTGCCTGCAGGGGAGTGTCTGGGGGCATGTGGATACCTGCGTGCTCCCAGGAAAGGCTGAGAGCAGGGGCGTCCCCGCTGGAGGGTGCAGAGCGGGGGGTGAGGACAGGGAGACCACAGAGCGCAGCCAACCACCCACATGCTCTCTGCGGTCTGCGGTGTCTCAAAAAATTAAAACCCACCACATTAAACCAAATGACTTTGGTTTCATGCAGATCTCTAACCCCTCGGAAAAAACTGGAAAATCCTGTTGCCCCAGTCAGCATGAAATAGAGTAACAATAGATAGCAGCAGCCCTCTAGATAGGATAAATGCCTTCCGATTTGCCACCACTCCTACCTGTCATTCCATGGGGGCTGCTGCACCTATTTACACTGCCGGCCTGGGTGCCAGGAACCCTGAGGTCCTGACCCTGCTTGTGAGGGAGGGGAACAGGGAGGGAGATTTACATGTCCACTGGCCACTTCCGAGCCACCTGAGGTTGAGCGAATTTCATAACCAGTCTTAGTTTCCTTATCTGGAAAAAGGAGTCATATCACCAACTCCAGTTTTGTTGTGCAGATGAAATTAGGTAACTCAGCAGTTAGCACAGCACTTAGTGTTCAACCAATGGTAGCTGCTACTACCAGAATTACTCCAGCCAAGTGCCTCTTTCAGGGCTACAAACTGCTATAATGTTACACATGGGAACACAGCTGTAAGGTGTAAGGTGTAAGGTGTAAGGTATGAGTGACTTGGCCCCTGCATGTGGCAAAATCTTGACTGGATGGAGTTGCACTGGCTCTGTTCTGACCTCTTTCTTTACCTCTAGCATGAGAGACAGAGGTACAGCAATGACACCCCACCATGCACACACGCACACAAACACACACCTGTCTGTCAACGCAAGGATTTACATATCTACACTGAACTGGATTGTCTATTTATATTCTGTTTTCTGTCAACTTTTCTTTCATGCAATCACTCCAAAGATTCTCAGATTACCATTACATCACAGGGTTCCAACAAACACCAAAGCTTATCACAAATCCAAAAAAAATTAGCTTCCCATGAGTGGGTGGTACGGTGCTGGGAGTCTGGGGAGGAGTTTGAGGCGACTGGAATATCCACCGTAAGCTTGCCAGACAGCAGTTCAAATCCAAAAGATCATCTGCCTAACAAAGGAGTGAGCCGTTTTACCTGAGCATGAATCAAACAGGTGGTAGCACCTTAAATGCTTTCCCAGGACCACCTCGGGAACAACTTCGATGCTGACTTTGCAAAGTGAAGTGACTAGATTTCTGTGCTTGTCATACAGCAGGAAGCACTGCCTACAGTAACAGGAGGTGCCAAAGGAGCTGCCACAGCACCCTGATAACAAAGTCCCCTCTATTGTCAGTCTTAAAGACTAACTTACTTTAAAGAGTAGACAGTAAAGAGAACATATGTATTCCCAATTAATACGCTATCACATCATAGCAAACACGTGTATTATTTTACATTACCTTTGAAGCACAAGAAAGAGAAGATACGCAGAGCCATGGGTCATTCTTTCCTTGAACTCTTTTTCTTTTTTTTTTGAGTTGGGGTCTCACTCCATCACCCAGGCTGAAGTGCAGTGGCATGCTCACAGTCACCCCAGCCTCAACCTGCTGGGCTCCGGCAATCCTCCTGCCTCAGCCTTCCAAGGAGCTGGAACTACAGGTGCATGCTACCAGACCCGGTTAATTTTTTGATTTATTGTAGAGATGAAGTCTCGCCAAGTTGTCTGGGCTGTTCTCGAACCCCCCAGGCTCAGGCAATTCCCTCACCTCAGCCTCCCAAAGCGCTGGGATTACAGGCTTGAGTCACCGTGCCCCGCCTCCTAGATCTCTTAAGACCAGTACTCTCTCAGATAACAGGGGAGAAGGAGAAGGAGAAGGAGAAGGTGATCAGAGACCCAAATTTGGCCTGGGAGACTGGTGGGTCAAGACCCTGTCGAATGGAACATCCACACACAAGAAATGTTCGAGATGACCAGGGATATTACACAAAGATTTTCTTTAAGGAGCAAGCTGCTTTCACAAAACTTGAACAGTTTCCACAAAAGCTCAGTAATTAATTCCACTGCCATTTACGCAAAAACGGAGTCTTTAAGGGTCACCTGCTGATTTTTCCCGCCTGGGTTTCATCCATCCTGCTCCAAATTGTCCCCTGGAGAAGCTTTCCTATTCCTTCTCAGAGGGAACCTATAATCCACCTGTAGCTCTAAGTGAAGCAAAGCAAGTTCCTGCCTGATCTTACTGACTGGGCTCAATCATAACCGATCAGATTCAATAAGACTTTTACTGGGGCTTATGGAAAAGAAGTGTGTGGTACCTGTTGGACTTGAATGAGAGAAAACACAAGGTCTGGGCAATGACAGCCACGTTTTGTCCACCAGGAAGAGGTGTCTGAGAGTGATGTCAAAACAGAGGAACAACAGAGCAACAGATAGAGGAACCACACCCTGACAACCCCATCTGAACTTCTTTTATCTTTATCTGAACTTCCTTATGCTCCTGAAGACCGAGGAACGCAAGACTTCTCGGCTAGGTGACCCCCAAATTCTCACTCTGGTGACATCTGTTGGAACTGGGTTTCCCTCGTGTGTAACAGAAAGGGACCTGACTGTTCCAGGGACATAAGAAGGCACTAGGGAGAGGGCATGATCTTCTGAGACTCTCCGCTACACCACACACCTTGCAGGAAAGCTCAGCATAAACACATTTGGTCCTCTCACGCATCCCAACCCCGCCTTGCCAAAGCCATTTCATGAAGACTGAATGCACTGTGGCAAACCTAAGTCCGGGTAGCTCTGGACACAGAGGGCAGGCATAAAAGAGTTCTAATCTGGAAAGAAAATGAAAGGAAGCAGGAGTTGGAGAAAATTTAATAAAGGGAGATAAATTAAGAGGAGGATGCAAGTTAATGGTGGGCTCTCTGTGAGGCACAGTTTAAGGAACTGAGGCTTACTGAAAATCCCGTAGGCCCTCTCTCTGGGTCTCATTTGCACAGTGTGCATTTTTAGCTTTTTAAGGCTGTGGCTATATAGCCTTATTCTAACTGGTATTAATGGAAAATATAGTGTTTTACCTTGGGAAAGAGTAAAGAACATTTATCTTGGAAAAAGAAAAACCCACAAAAAAACCCAAAAGTTTTAACTTTACTTTGGAAGAAAATAAGAAGCTTCTATCTGTTCTAAACTTAGCTTAAAAACATTTCAACTTTCAGCTGGGGATTGCAGAATAATATGACAGTCTTCAAAGCTGAGTTCTCTTGCAATTAAATATTCTGTCTGAGAAAGCTGCCGTCTTAGATGACTCAGCTCGCCAAACCATTGAAGCAGAATGTGCTGGAGGCTGGAGCTGTGGTGTGAATGGCAAACCTCACTCTCTTCCTGGGGTCCATTTGCGTGCCTTTTGGCTGGAGAAGGAGAAGTTCGCTTTGTGCCTGTTGGGATTGGTGCACGGGGACCTGAGGGAGAAGGAGGGGGAGAGAAGGCAAGCAGGGGAAAGAGATGGTGCCGGTTTCCCCACAGGAGGCGACTGGTCACCAGTTTCGGGGCAGAGCCCAGGAGGGATCATGTGACTGGGGAGAGTCATCCTCCGCGGTTCCCAGCAGACCTACCACAGTGGCAGATGTGGCATTTCTACACCGGGAAGAAGTAGTAGTGGCATTCATGAGAGAAAGTTCTAAGAGGCTAGCACACAACAGCATTCCACCCAGAGGCCAGACTTCAAAGACAGAGGCAGCCTTGATTCTAGGCACATGGGAGGTTCCCCCTGCAATTCCCAGACACTCCTGGGAAGAAGAACTTTGAACTTGAGAAGAAACATGGGGCCACAGGATATGGAATTAAGGTTCCTATGACTTCCTTCATACTCTTCATGTTTGAAGCCCAAGACACTCCAGTTATACCACAAAAGGCTCCCATAAGTTCTTGAGTATACATACAATTCTAAAGAAGCATACGAGAAAATTTTACTTGCACGCCTAGAGCAAGCGGCTGAGACACAGCTGCATGGACTGTCCACAAAGAATCCCGAAGCCCAGGATTAAGGAGGAATCCAGTCTGTGGCCCACTGCAAGACTTACAGCTCGCCCAATGCACCATTAATCGGTGTATGTTCAGGAGATGCAAGCTAACTTAATATCAACTTCATCCGCTAATTCAATATCAACATCATTAAGAAAGCTATTAAGAGACACAGAAGATGTTTAGATGATCTACAAAACAGTTTGTCTTCATGACTATGAATGAGAACTAACCACATTTCTTTCTCTTTTTTTACAGATGTATTTATTTATTTATTGTAGAGACGAGGTCTCGCCAAGTTGCCTGGGCTGGTCTCGAACCCACGGGCTCAGGCAATCCACACGCCTCGGCCTCCCAAAGTGCTGAGATGACAGGCTGAGCCACCGAGCCCAGCCAAGAACTAACCACATTTCTAATCTGCTCCCTGGGACAGACAGTAATGTATTTGGGAACTGTGTCATGATCTTTGTAGAAAAGAGCACTATCATGTTTACACAGGATACAGGGTTCCTCTCTATTTATACCTTCATCTTATATTCATTTTTGGAGGTGGCAAAAATGATTCCGTTTATTTTTTCATTATTCCACAATGTCAGATGTTCTGTTTCTTTCACATAAAACCACAGGTTTTGGCAGCTACAAAGGGACTAACACATTTCTTCTACACCAGGATCCTCGTTTCATTTTCAATCAGAGGAGACTATGTGTCGCCCAGCAGTGCAATGGCTCCCAAACCCGAAAACAAACCTCTACTCACCGAGCCTGAGAGAGACAGTCGCAGTGTGATGACGGATGCTCTAAAAGACCTTCTTTCTGATTTCCAGACTTCAAATAACAGGATCTAATTTCTCCTGTAAAAACACAAAACATCAGCAAAGAACAGTACACAATCATCTCGGTTTACACTATTTTCAAGTTAAAGGGAGCTTATTATGGGCCATTTCGATGACTGTTGTCAATGTAGGCCCATTCTTCATATTTCTCTGCAGAATATGCATGACGAGAAGACGAAAAGTTTCTAGAAGAAACTCTCTGATGAAAATTTCTGACACACCTCCCTGAAAATAACTTGGATAATTTTTGACTCGGTGACTTATTCCTTAATTGCTTCCAGTCAATTGATTTGATCATCTCTCCAATTTTTTTGATGTGTTCTCTTCACGGATCAGCATGATCTGTGCTGGGCTGTAACTGGGTGGTTTTGGGGACACTTGTACTTCAGTACTCGAGCGTGCAGTTTCGAATGCTGGACCACATAAGCCCATCTCTAACTCCAGGTATCTGGAGGAGCACATGCCACAGAACTGACTGATGTGTCAGCCTGCTAATGAGGAGAAACAAAGGGCGGAATTAATTTGCCCAGTTCAATTAGCTCCACTAATGGGAGTCAGGGAAGTGAAGTGTGGAAAACTAGCTCTCTTTCTGATGTAAATGGTCTCTGCCCAGAGGAGTTCCTAGAGTCCCTTCCTTGGGTGACACAGGAAGCCTAACGAACCTTGTCTGCTGTGAGCCCTCAACTCAAAGGTGTGTTCCACGAAGAGCACTGACCCTCTGGAGACTTTGATAGAAGGGATAATTCTGTTCTTTATAGCACAAAGGTCTCTTTTTATTTTTGTAGCTGCAAAGAACATGAAACTATAAACGACTGGACCCCAGATATGGCAATCATATAATTTATTATACAAAGAAGAATCCTTTGGAAAGTAACATAGTGAACATTACTTGACCTCTATGGTACTTAATCCAAGAAAAACTAGGACCTATATCCCTTATCCTTGAAACTTTGAACCTGCCATTTACTATTTCTCTATGCACACTATTTTAAATCCTTTTAATAACAAGGCACCGAGCAAAATATATCAAGGTCAGGTATGCAACATATAGCACCAACAAACATTTCCTGGGCAGTAGGCATTCTCCTCTTGAAGTTTACAGCTGTGAGGTGTGAGTGTCATTTATCAAATTATTGTGAGTAAACACATCATTTCAAGCTGCAATATTATAAAAGAAGCAAAAGGACTGGGTGTTCACAGAGCAAAAGTGCAGGTAAACGTCACGAGGCCTGGGACGTCCAGGAAAAATTTTCCTAGAAAATTTACTTTAGAACTAAAGTCTGAAGGATTAATAACAATACTGCAGGCATTGAGATGGAGCACGAACAAGGGCCCTGAGGCAGGAGGGATCACGCTCTATCCTAAGAACATTATGTGGGCCGACCCAGGGCCAAGTCTTCCTGTTTCAAAGTCTAGTGCTCAGGCCAAAAGATCAAATCCTGAGAAAGTTGCCAGTTTCTTCCTTCTTGCTCACTAGTAAACTAATCTAGACTCACCGTGTTCGTCGATGAAGACATGCATAGCATCCACAGATATCTCCTCCTGCACAGACGTTTCCGGCCCACTGATGACTTGTAAGACAGAACTATCTTGTTGGGAAGTTACCCTGTAGATTATCTGTCTTTGTCTATTGCCCTGGAAACTGAACGTACATAAAAGTGTCAAAATGACTGACTAGGCGTTCCTTCTTTATTTTTAACAAAGCATTTTTAAAAAGCAGTCAGGGAGTGAGGCTATCTCACACTTTATACCCACATGAAACAAAGTAAGTTTTCCTTACAAGGCCGGGGTCTTGGCGGGTTGAGCGCACACAGGGCTGGCACTAGTATGGTCTTGACTTTGCAAGCCTGGCTTTCCTTGCTTGGAATCGTGTCCACTGGGCTTTTCCCTTTCCGGGATTTCCTCCTTTTTCTCCTGGGAACAATTATCTGAAAAACATTGCTTTATGTGTAAATATAATGTCAAATTAAAAAATAATGTGAAAGCTTTGGGAAATAAGTCACCAAAACCGAAACAGGAATAGAAAGAAAATCTGAATAGCTCCTCTGAATGAGAAATGCTTTCTTAAATAAATTTTCATTTTACTAATTACAAAAGTACCTAAATATATTTTAAAAACTGAAGCATTAGTATGTTTCAGACATGTTATTTAAGCATCTACAAACAGCAACAGCACTATTTTTACACATGAGTTCAGGGGCTTCCTTAATATAACTCGGTGACCACACACAGATGTGCCTGATTAGAATTACATGGATTTTGGAGCAAGGTCCCCTTAGTCATTTTTAAATCATATCAGTCTTTCTTCTCATTCACTCTCTAAATCTCAATTTTCAAGCTAAAGGTAGAAATGGTCCCTTCGTAAAGTAGATACTTGTTAAGTATAGCTGATTTGAACAATATGCTTAGCAAACTGTGGAGGATACAGTATAATACAATCTATTCCTGGCTCTGAGAATATTTTAATGTTAATGAGAATTCCAAGATCAATAGGTACAGATTGGGGGGGTGAACTGTTTTTTAAGAGTCCTCGGCCGGGCTCCGTGGCTCAGCCTGTAATCCCAGCTCTTTGGAAGGCTGAGGTGAATGGATTGCCTGAGCCCGCGGGTTCAAGATCCGCTTGAGCAACCTGGTGAGACTTCACCTCTATAAAAAAAATTAAAAAAAAAAAAAATTAGCCAGGTGTGGTAGGACGCACCTGTAGTTCCAGCTACTTGGAAGCCTGAGACGGAAGGATTACCGGACCCCAGCAGGTTGAGGTTGTGGTGGCAGGGAGCGGCCACTGCACTCCAGTCTGGGTGACAGAGTGAGAAATCAACTCAAAAAAAAAAAAAAAAAGAATCCTCTTTAAACGATGGACCAAAATAAGGGTCCTGGCTTACACCATTATGCAAAATGGAAAATGTCCCTGAGGGTCAGGTCTTCCTCTTCTGTGGACACACTCCAACAGCCATGTTTAAAGTCAACGTATCATTGTACCCCCATGACCTCTTCTGAGTAAATGGTTGGCTCTGAAGCTCAACAGCCTGTGCCTGAGAGAACAGGACTGACTGATTAGAACCCACAGGCCCTTTCAAGACACACCATTAGGAAAAGCCCATCAAGGGCTGTCTAAGCCCTCAGAAAGCAAAACTGTGCTAATGTCCGTGGGGTATAAATCACATCATTGCGTATATAACACAGCTATTCATTCTCAGACTTCAAGCAATTAGATGAACAGACTTCAAGCAATTAGATGCTGGCTTCTATGTGAATTCTGAAGATAAACATTTCCAGCACATCTGTGAAACTACCATAAGAATTTCTTTGGTACAGAAATGTTTGCATTTCGTTTGACAGCTTGTCAAGATAGAAGTTTTCACAGTTTTCAAGAAACACATTTATAAGAAAGTGCTATCATAACAAATAGCTTTAGCCAGTGATCATGCCTCATAAAAAAAAAAAAAATCCCAGAAAGGCACATTTAGACAGCTCTTGTCCTTCACAACACATGTATTTGAATTCATTTGTTCACATTTCTTTATTATATCTCACTCAGACCCCTCTCTTTAATGAGTACATTACATTAAGTCAACATATGGACTAATTTTTCCCCTTTTTTTCTCTTAAAAATACACTTATAGAAACTCTTCTGTTTATTAAAATAGTACACATTCGTGGTACATAATTTAAAACTAGAGAAAAGAAAAAATTTTAAATCATTCTTAATTCTGCCATCCCGATATTACCACTAGAGTAACTCTGATATATATCAGACCAGTCTTTTTTTCTAGAGACATACATTTTTTAAGAAACAATGAAGTTATAATTCATAATACAGGTGTTGTTTTGTCTATCATATTTCTTAAAATATTATATATATTTAATGTCATTAGATATCTTTCTACATTATCTAAAAGTTGTAGTTGTATAATACACATTGACACAGTGTGATTTATTTAAATAGACTTCTTTTGCAAATTTAGGTTGTTTCAATCTTCCATATTCTAGATAATTTTTCAATAAGCATTACTATATACATTCATGATTATTTTCTTAGACATTTCTATACGTTAAGAGACTGAATATGCAAATGAACAATGGCTACATAATATTCATAAACACAGAACTCTAACCAACACTCTGCAGTAAACAACTAAGGAAACCAACCCATTACCTATAGTAACCAGTCCAGGAAGTTAATATACTAAGTCAGACCATACTAAGTCAGCCTGGGCAACAGAGTTGGAGTCCAACTCTGTTGCCCAGGCTAGAGGGGTGCAGTGGCATAATCACAGTTCACTGTAGCCTTGACCTCCTCAGTCTCTCAAGTAGCTGGGACTACAGATACACACCACCATGCCAAGCAATTTTTTAAAACTTTTGTGAGACGAAGTCTTGTTATCTTGCCTCAGCTGGTCTCAAACTCCTAGGCTCAGGCAATCCTCCTGCCTTGGCCTCCCAAAGTGCTGGGATTCCAGGCATGAGCCACTGTGCCCAGCCTTCGTGATCCTGACTCTCAAGCCTATTCCTTCCTGTAGAATACCTCCTAGCACCCATATCTCCCTGCACATCCCTCTTAATTTCCAATCTAACACTGTTCTGATTGAACATGGCTGCTAAAAAATTCAAGAACTAAAACTGATAGACTATCAAAACTTTTCACATATTTTCCTAATTGAATCCTTCAATAAATCTGTAACATATTATTTTTTCCTGCTTCATAGGAAAAATTCTGACTCTGGCTTTGGTAAATTGTCCAAGCCCACCCAGCTGGCACTGCAAAACCAAAATTTGGTCCTGAGATATCTGGTTTCAAAGCCAGGGCTTTGTCCACTGGACACACTGCTTCTGTGAAGATTCTCTTGTCTTCTAGATTATTACTCTCCAATATGGTAGCTGGAGGTCATATATGGCTATTTAAGTGAATCGAAATTTACTAAAATTAAAAATGAAGTTTCTCAGCTGCACAATTTCTATTTCAAGTATTTGACAGCCATGGGCTGCAGACACAGAATATTTCCATCCCGGCAAAAAGTTCTAGCTAGTGCTGGTCAAGAGGTATGTATTCTTAAGGTGAACGGATGATGAACATCCAAATCATCAGAAAGAGTTTTTTCTCAAAATTGCTTTCATGTACCGCTCATGTCTGTTAAAAAGTTTAACTGAATCAGACCAAGTTGTCCAGAGCCACCGACATGGAGCCGGGGGAGCCTCTGGATGTCCCCAAGAGCAAAGGAACAATCCTAGTCCTCAGAAATGCCACCACTTGTACCACAGACAATGAGCTTTTATGTGCAACCACATCTCCCAGGCAGCATTCCTACCACACAGACACTGTCTCAACACAGATCTATGTAGAGATCATTACTCAAAGATCACAGAAACAAGGATATTCAAAGCTAAAAGACTTTACGAATGCTGTAGTTCATTTTGTCCATGAGGGAACTGAGTAACAGAGATATCAAGTAACCTTAAAATTAATGCATTTTATCTTCATATAGAAATTACAGTTTAATTTTAATGCAAGGACACTGGAACAAGACCACCTGGGATCAAATCTCAGTTCCGGCACCACTTGAGCTCTCTAGACTAAGTTGGGAGAGTTAGTGAAAATCTCTGCGCCTCTCTGGCAGAATAGGAATGGTAATAGTATCCATGACATAAACTTACATAAGAAACAATTTAATATGAGAGTGACTATATTATTTACCATTTAAACTGGTGACACTTTTAAGAAAGTCAGTGCTATTAATAATTACGTTGGCAAAACAGGTACAAATGTGGACTCTTCTAGGCATACCATGAGGTATAATCACCTTAGTTAATATATGTAAAGTACTTAGAACACTGCCTGATGTAAATTAAGAGTTGAAGAAGTATGTGCTATTATTATGTGTACAATATGGGATAATTAGAGAGCTCTATATTTATAATGGAGCTCAGCAGGAAAAGTAGATTCATTTAACAGAAAATTGCTTTACCAGATGCATCTAGTCTATAAAAGAAGAGACATCTATGGCAAGTACTTGTCACTGTAGTAACACAAAAATACTTATTTTCCTAGAAATAAATATTCTTGCTTTCTAGGGAAGCCAAAAATTTATTATAATGCCTTAAGTGTCCTGGTAAAGTAAGACGATACACGCACATATGCTCAAGATAGACCTTAGTATTGGCACATTCAGCAAACATCAATGGCAAAGCCAGGCAACCATCAGTTGCCCCATAGTTGTCCTACTATTTGCAAAATCAAATCACAGAAGGCAAATTACAAAGAGATGTACTGCCTTCTATGCCATCAGCAGAAGAGCTGATGTGGAATCGCACCTTGGAGAAGCCCACTTTCTTCATTCTGCTCTGCTGAGCCATTTGATTGATCGGACGCCACCACCTTGGACGTATTAATTGATTCTAACAGGGAGACAAACTCCAGGAAGCTAGACTCATTTGGGATTTGCCCTTCCTTAGCCTCTAGGTCAGATTTGGAAGTTGGCATTGTTTTCTCTTTGTTTTCGTTAATAATTTCTGCAGAACTTTTACTCAAGAAGACATCTGTCCCACTATCCACACTGAGCACCCGGGCATGTCTCTTTTCGTGGCTGGTCTTGCAAGATGCTGGGTCAAGGCTAGCCTGGCTTTCCTTCCCCCTGGCAGACTCGGAGGCCAAGTCAGGGGTGAGTGGGGGTGCTGTTTCCCCAGGGTCCCGTGAGGAAGAACTACAGTCCTTGGTGGTACCTGTACCCTCCCCAGACGCGTGGCCTGAACACTGACTGGCAGATGCCTCCACCCTCGGTCTCTCTGGAGTCCTTTCGTTTCCATTGCCTTCAGGACGAGAAACGCTTCCTCCCCGATCCTCAGACGGTTCAAGGGTGATCATGGGAATTCTGATCTGCTCAGCGTGTGGAGGACTGGCCACTCCTGGGGTAGCTAGCTCAGTGTCAGACTTTAAAGCCGTCCCCTCTGTACCAACCACCTCCAGGTGGAGGGAGCTTTCCAAGTCTGTCATGGAGTTCGGGGTGCTACTCATCGTGATAACAATTTTGATGGGTTCGTGCAGACTCAGAGGGTTTCCGGGTTGAGAAGTATCGATCAGAGTAACGGCTACCTCACTCTCCAAGGAGTCCACTTCCTGGTTCAAGGGCAGGTCCACCTGACAGGAAGTGTCCGCCTGCCCCTCTGCAGGCTTGGCCACGACGGTGTTACACTGAGGGCAGCTGCTGCTCAGGCTGTCCTGAGGTGACTTGCTTTGTACCTGTCCCCTTATGGAGCCCTGGGGACAACTGACAGGTTCTGGAATCAGGACTGAATGCTCACTCCCCCACAGCTGGAAAGACACGTCTGTTTCTAGTAAGTCATACTGAGACAGAGACAAGTGGGGTGACTTCTTCAAGGGTCCCTTGTCCTCCAAGCCGCCCTCGGATCTATGGCGCAAAGGAGGCTGCATCTTCCCTCCTCTATCCTTGGCTTTACCATGGATGAATGTTTCCGCAGCCACTGGTTTCGCTGGCATTACTGACTCGGGCGTGGCTTCCAGCATCCGTGCCTGAGAAGCAGCTAAGCTTGCCGTTTTGATACCAGGTGAGGTAGATGACACTGGTGCCGCAGGTTGGTCTTCTGACAGGATGACACCTGAAATAAATGACAAATGGCAACTCCATTAGCACCTGGAATTGATGAGTCATGTCCCAGAGCACGGTCTAATACTCACAAAACTAAAAATAGCACCAGCAACGAATGAGATCGGATGCTTATTTTTAACAATGTCACTTCCACTGTAAAATTGTTCTTGAAGTGTTTACATTTAAAATAATAACTCAGACTTTTATGTTTCACTATGTTGTGGCCTAAGGAGGCAGAGCAGTATGGTTTAAGCAAGATATTTGAGCACTGCAGAAAAACCCAGGCTCTGCTATTTACAAATGCATTACCTTAAGCAAGTTGCTTCATCCTTCTAACCAGGGTTTCTCCATATGGCACTACTGACAATTTGAATCAGATCATTATTTGCTGTAAGGGACTGTCCTATGCATTGTAGGTTATTTTGTAGCATCCCCAGCCTCCACCCATTTGAGCAACTCTACCTCCAGTCGTGACAATCAAAAATGCCTCCAGATATTGCCAAATGTCCCTTGAAGAGCAAAACCCCTAGGTGAGAACAACTGCTCTAATTCTCAACCTCCTCGACTATAAAAACATACATTTTACTCTACTAAGAATAACACTATCAAGAAAGACTATAACAATTGCATGATCATGTCAATAAATTCAGAAAAAGCATTTGACAAAATCTAACATCTTTTCATGAGAAAAATACTGAACAAACTGGGATTAGATGAGAACTTCCTCAACCTGATAAAGGCATCTATAAAACACCCAAAGCTAACATCATACTTAATGGTAACAGGCAAAGCTTTCTCCTTGAGACCAAAAATTAGGCGATGATATCTACTCTCACTAGTTCTAATTTTTAAAGAAACTAGTTCTCTAAAGAAACCACAAAACACAAATTTATTTTAAAACATACTTCTGATATTAGACTTACATATGCAAACTTTAAAAATACATATGAAAATTTTAAAGAAGGAAAATAAGGATTTATAAATGATAGCAAGCAACAGAAGACTATAACAATGATCAATATGTTTTAACAATAATTACTATAACGAAAAATACAAATTGTATTTTTTAAAGCCCATTGGATGAATTAAATAACATTATACGGAGATGAAGAAGTGATTAGTAAATTTTATGCTAAGGCTGATCAAATTATAGTAAACAGAACACAGAAAAAAAAGATTAAAAATGTTAGAGAGACATTAAGAGAGCATGCCTAATATGTTCCTAATCAATTGAAAGAAAGACTCAGCAGGAAGAAAAATGGAGAAGAGAAAATATTTTGAAGAAACAATGGCTATGAATCCCTCAAATAGGTAAAAGATAAAGGTAAATTATTGTACTCTCATTCGCTCTAATCAAGATTGTACTAGAAATTCTACCCACAGAAATTAGTCAAGAAAAAAATAAAAAGCAACCAGACTGGAAAGGGAAAAGAAAAACTATCTTTATGCATAGATGACATCATCTGATATATAGAAAATCCTAAGGAATTTATTTAAAAACCATTAGAACTAATAAACAAGTTCAGTGACTTTGTGGGATATAAAATCAATGTGAAAAAATTAACCAAAATATTATTTTAAAAGAAATATAAAGTTAGAGAACCCACAGTTCCAATTTCATAGCTCATTACACAGCTATAGTAATCAAGACAGTGTGGTAGTGGCATAAGAATAGACAAACAGATTAAAAATACAGAATTAAAAATCCAATACTAAATCCTTACATGTGTGACCAATTGATTTTCAATGAGGGTACCAGGACAAGTTAATGGGGGAAAGAAATAGTCTTTTTAACAAATAGCACTGATTCAGTCGATAAACACATACAGAAGAATAAAGTTGGACCCTCTACATTACACCAGTCACAATAATTATCTCAAAATGAATCACAGGCCTAAATGTAAGAGGTAAAACTATAAAACTCTTAGAAGAAATCACAGGATTAAATCTTTAAGACCCTGGAATTGGCAATGTATGACACCAAAAGCCCAAGCAATAAAAGAAACAATGGATAAACTGAATTTCATGAAAATGAAAAACTTTTGTGCCTCAAGGGGATTTATTAAGAAAGTGATCAGACAACTCACAGAACGGAAGAAAGCATTTGCAAATCATATATCTGAGAAGAGACCTGTACCCAAAAGGTATATAAAACACTTACGACTCAAAAACAAAAAGACAATCCAATAAAAACTGGATAAAGCACCTAAATAGACATTTCTCTAAAGATAACTGTGATAAGGAAAATATTATCATTAGTTATTAGAGAAATGCAAATCAAAACCATAATGAGATATTATTTTATAACCACTGGGATTTAAATTATCAAAAACATGGACAATAATAAGTGTTGTCAAGAACAAGAAAAAACATAGCCTTCATATATGGATGGTGGGAATTTTAAATGATGCGCTCGCTTTCTAAAAGTCTGGCGGTCTCTACACTGATTAAACACAGATTTAATAAATTACCCAGCAATTCCACTCCTATGAACATACTCAAGAGAAATGAAAACACATGTCCACTCAAAAACTTGTACATGAATGTTCATAGCAGCATTATTCAGATAGCCAAAAAGCACCCTCAAAAATCAAATATTCATCAACTAACAGAGACAAACACAATGAGGTATATAAATTCAATGGAATATCAGTCGGCAATAAAAATGAATGAAGTACTGATACACACTACAACATGGATAAACCTTAAAAACATTAGGCTAATTGAAAGATGCCAATCACAAAAGACCACATATAATATGATTCCATTTATATAAGATGTTCGGAATATGTAAATTCATACAGGCAGAAAGTAGATTTGTGCTAAAGAAGATGAGGAGACTGAAGGGTGATGGCTAAGTGGTGTGAGGTTTCTTTTAATGAAAATATTCTAAAATTGATTGTGGTGATACATATACAACTCCGTGAATATACTAAAAACATCAGAATGGACATGCTAATGGGTAAATTGTATGGCATCTGAATTATATCTCAATAAAGCTGTTAAAGAAAACTATTATGCCTTTTAACAACAGAAAGAATTGTGCACAGTTAGCCTTCAATATCATAATGTTCTGCATCCACAGATTCAACCAGCTGTGGATAAAAAAATATTTTTAAAAAACAAAAAATAACACACAATAAAAAATAACAATACAATAAAATACAAATTAAAATGCAATACAGTATAACAACTTTTTAATATAGCATTTGCACTGTATCAGGTATTATAAGTAATCTAGAGATTATTTGAAGTTTATGGAAAGATGTGGGTAGGTTATATATAAATATTACAGCTTTTTATATAAGGGACTTGAGTATCTGCAGGTATCCATGGAGGGTCTTGAAGTCAATTCCCCTAGGATACTGAGAGACACGTATACTAGGATGGTATCTTATAAGACTGAACTATGAAAAAAAAATGTACTGCTTTAGTATAGTGTTGTTAAAAACAGTGGATTTAATAGTCAGGTATGGGTTTAAATGCTACCTGCACATTCCATTTACTATGGCTCATAATAAAATGATGTACACAAAAACTCTACTACAGCTTCTAGTACAATTAAAAACATAAGGAAATAATTGTTTCATTTGGAACGGTGTAGTGAAAAGGCCAAAATTGATATTCAGAGTATGTAATGTAATGGGTATTAATAGTTATAGTACATCCAATCTGGAATAATATGTTTAATATGAGGAGAAGGGTGTGTGCTTGTATTTGTAGAAGCAGATATAAAATAACATTGTTATAAAACTGTGCATATTACTAAAAGATTAGAAATCTAACAAATGTGAATTTTATACCAGTAGTATTAATACAGAAAAAAAGAATTTGGTGATGACTTAAAATAAACTGAATAATCTTGTGTATATTGTTATAATGTAAAGCAGCTGAATGATGAAAAAAGAAACTTCATTTTATAAGTTCAGGGCTATGGTGCTAATTTCGGCTGTTTCCAGAAAATAAAATTTTACACTAGTTTCAAAATTTAAATAGTGCATAAAGTTTGTCTTTCTGGTAACACTGGAAAAAAGTAGAATGCAGAGAAAGGGAGACATTAATTTAGGCCTCCAAAAGGTCTTTTTGAAGACTTCTGAAAGTAATCAAAAAACAATAAAATAAAATCTTAGTAAAAAGGTAAACCAAAAATGTTTTAGGTTGAAACAAATTTCTCCCAAATAAAATTTGTAACAGGAAAGAAATGCAGATATGCAGAATGTGATATAATTTCTCCTTTTGCTTTTCAGTGTAAGTACTGTAATAAAAAGTTTGTATGTAAGGGAATAAGATAAGATGGCAGCTAGAGGCAGCTAGTGTGTTTCTCCTATGGAGAAAACCAAGATAGAGTTTCCTAGGCACCCAGAAAGAATTGGCATCGGCAGCATGCCCTACAACTCATCAAAAAAGTGATAATAGCCACATAGGTCAAAAAAGAAAAAAATCAGTCAGCCTAGGTTGGAACTGGTTAGACCCTCAGCTGGACACAGCACTGACCACCAGCAGTCTTCAGACAAAGTGAGGAAGGTAAGTGAGGGGAATTCAGGAATTCTATGCTTCTGCCATGGACTTGGAGGGGCTCCAGAGCGTGTGGGACTCCAGTCCCTCACAGAAAACTGCCTTACCCACAGCCATGCTTTGCCAAAACCCACACAGAGTGGTGCGGGGCGGGGGGCAGTCCTGAAAGCTCCAGCCACCATATCCCAGGAACTTAACCCTTGCCGACAGCTTTCTAGGGGCCTGGGAGGGGATGGGCCCCAAGGGTAAACTTCACAAAGGAAGACAGTCCCTGGCTGGGGTAAGATGCTATGAGAATACCTGAGGCCCTGAGGCTAGCTGTACTTTGACATTCAGAACACAAACTGCCTGAGGCCTGGGTTGGGGAGGGTGCTGGGTGGGACTTGGTGCCACAGCAACCTCACACTCCCAAGGTAAACTCTTTTGTGCAGCCTTGGTACAACACCATGACCGCAGTGGCTGGGGACTCCCCCCTCCAGTTGTGCCACTGGGGTA